AAAGGAATTAAATGAACAAGCAATCCACCACCATACGATTGGATCATTTGAGCTTAACTGTGAGTATATGCAGACAATTTTGCATTTCTTTTGAAAAAAGGTTTCAGGCCCAGATATAGGATGGAAACAACACTGGAAGCACTTTTGGATGATCTCTGGCAGGAGTGGAATGGGGGCACTGCACTGATCCTCGCTCTTCTTGACCTCTCATGTTTTAATTTGGAGAAGACTGGATATCAAAGAATAGCTACCCTTCAATTATGTATTCCTCTACTTACCAATCGCACATTGCAGGAATGAGAAAATATTGTATTTTCATATTGCCATTCACAAAGTTGTAGCGAATTCTAAAAGAATTCAATATGAAAAACAGTTGTCACCTGCTCAGAAGTTAATTTTCAAAGACATGAAAGAAATGACAGTTTCTTGACTTTTTTCCTACATACGGATGACTGTTTCAGATATCTGGACAATCACTATGCAACACTATAGTGTTTCCTGATCCTCTGATAAAATTAAACATTGGTCCTGATTTCTTGAATTAGGGCAATTTTGTATTCTCAATGTTCCCAATTTTATTTTTCTAAGTATTTTAAAAAAATAAATAAAACTCAGTCACTTATTAAGTCACCCGAAATAGAGAAAAATTCTTATCACTTATATGAAGAAAAATTGCCGGGTTGCCAAAGGTTCAATGATAATTATGCCCCTGATGAATTACTGAAAATACTCTATTATTCTAGTAGGCCAAAACAGCAAAGGTTCTGTTCAGAAGGGAATAGGAAGTCAAAAACAATCTATATAAACATTTCTAGAGCCACAGAGAGGCAGGGAGGGGGAATGCTGACTCTGTGAGGTTTATTTCCACAAGTTCTTTCCCTCCTGTCTCATCTACCAGAACGTGTCTTTGAATGATAGACCCAGATCTTGTCTCCATAAGCAGAGAGTCACGATGTGGCTTCTCCTGGTGTTCCTGGTGAACAAAAGAGCTACCCTGAGCTGTCCTGCAAGTGATGCCTTCCCTGTCCCTCATGAGTGGTACCAGCCAGGCGACCTTGTCATTGGTGGGATGGTGTCTCACCTGGTTTACCATTTTTATGAACTTCCATTCAGACAGCATCCTTTCCTAAACCTTTATGATTCACCAATGTAAGGCACTTTCTTAGAATCATCTGACCTTACTCATATCCCAAAGAATTGCTTATATGATTAATAGCTGTTTGCATAGAAAATGTAGAGTTGTGTGTGAAACGGTAAAAGTTCTTAGCACTTTGAAACATTTCTACAGGTGAGAGAAGAGCGAATTTTCTTTATGTTTCATTATTGGATTTCTTGTAAGAAAGTACATTTTGGTAAAATATAATAATCAAAAGAAGAGTGCTAAGTCTACACTACTTTTCATAAAACATAAATAAATATGAGAGTTTAGCTAAATCTTTGAAACTCAACATTAAAAAAAAGTAAGATCATGGCATCTGGACCCATCAATTCCTGGCAA